CCCTGCCCCTCTCTCTAAAATCAATAAACATACCCTCGAGTGAGGATTTAAAAAAATTGTGAAATGATAAATTTGTATTGAACATCTGCTTTGCTTTGTCTTCTGCCCAACTTTGGAAAATTATATATTTTTTGCCTTCAGGCCTCCTCTCCCTATCAGAAAACAAAGGAATATAATATGATCTTTAGGAAAAACTTACTGCCGTTTTGCTAATTCTGCCCATTCCTGTACTGTCTCAGTTACTGTAGCTTTATAGTCAGTCCTGCTGTCTGGTCATAGTCTTCCATCATTTGCAAACCTTGACAATATAAATATTAATAAAAATCAGTTCACAACTTTCACATCAGAGGCAGAAATGATGAATTTTCTAAAACTTTTTAATGGAAATGTGTAACATAATGAAATCAAGAGAATAGTACAGTGAACCCACAGAGACCCATCCTTACCCTGCACTTGTTCTACAGCACCTGCTTATTTCCCACCCCACTCCCCAGGAGAGGAATATTCTAACGCAGATCTAGAGGGATCTTTAGAGGGTGTGATTTCTGTTGTGAAGAACTTTAGCTAAAGTTTAATTATTTCTTTAGTTTCTATATTATTAACTTTAAGCAAAATCATATTTAATTTTTTCTATTGAATGTAGTATTATTGTAAAATGATCGTTTTCTATGTATCTTGTTAAGTAATGCATAGAGAAACATCTGTAGTGATGGCCATTTTGTTATAATGTTTACTTCTGGATGGTGGATTTGAGTGGTTTTTAAAATTCTTTATACTTTTCTGCATTCTTTAATTTGTTTTCTAGTGAGCTATATAATTTTAATAAAAATAATAATTATTAAACATTGAAGAAAAGAAGTAGTTATAGTAATAAGACTTTCCTTAAATCATTTATAAGAATTTTAACTTTCAGGGTGCAGTTCTACCTCAAGAAATAAGTCAAGTAACTCAACATCATAAATCTGGCTTAAGTGACAGCAGTGTTAAATGTCAGCAGAGAAAACATGAGCCTCACAGAAAATGTAAGTTTTAAGTTAGAAAAGTGTACTTGTGGTGCTGCTTCCTTTTATTTTTATTAATTAACAGCTTTATTAAGTTATAATTAACAACAAAATTGATCATTTTTTAAAATGCAATCAGTTGGGTTTTTTATATTTTCACAAAGTTATACAACCAGTGTGACTATCTATCTATACTGAAACATTTTCATCAGCCCTCAAAAGAAATATCCTACCTATTAGCAGTCATACCTCCAGCCCTTGGCAAAGCACTAATTTACTTCCTGCCTTTATGGATTGGCCTATTCTAGATATTTCATATAAATGGGATCATTAAATATGTGTGACCTTTTGTGGCTGGCTTCTTCACTCAAGGATATGTTTTTATTGATTTGAGAGAGAGAAAGACAGACAGAAACATCAATATAAGAGAGAAACCAGTTTATTGCCTCCTGTCCTGGACCCCACTAGGGGTATAACCAGCAACCTAAGTATGTGCCCTGACTGGAAATCAAACCCGCAACCTTTTGGTGCACAGGTTGATGCTCCAGCCAACTAAGCCACATGGCCAGGGCTAGGACTGGCTTCTTTCAATTGGCTTACTGTTTTCAGGGGTTATCAATGTTGTATGTTGCAGCATGTATCAATACTTCATTCCTTTTTATGGCTAAATATTGTATTGTACAAATACTACATTTTGTTTACTACCATTCATCTGTTGATGGACATTAGGGAAGTTTCCACTTTGGGGTTATAATGAATAATGCTGCTGTGAATATCTGTGTACAAATTTTTGTGTGAACATATGTTTGCAGTTCTCTTGGGTATATATGAATGAGTGAAATTACTGAGTCATATGTTAACTCTATGTTTAACTTTTTGTGGAACTCTCAAACTTCTCCAAACTAGTTGTACCATTTCACATTGCTTCCAGCAGTGTGTAGGGCCTGACTTTTCCACACCCCCATAGCACTTGTTATTGCCGTCTTTTTAATAGAGGCACTCTGGTGGATGTAGAGTGCAGCCTCCTCGCACCTTTCACTTACCGTTGGTTATGACAAGTAATGGTGAGCATCTTTTCATGTGCTTATTGGCTGTTTATCTTTTTTGATGAAATGTCTATTCAAAATATTTGCTCATTTTAAAATTGGGTTATTTGTCTTTTTATTCTTGATTCGTAAGGATTTTATATATTCTGTATACTACAGGCTTCTCTGATATTTTTTCTACTTTTTTTTTTTTTTGGTTGCTTGTGCTTTAGGTGTCATGACCAAGAAACCATTGCCTAATCCAGGGTCACAAAGATTTAAACCTGTTTCGTGTTTTTCCCCTAAGAGCTTTATAGTTTTATCTCTTACAATGGTTTTTTCTTTTTCATTTTTGTGTTTGAATATGGTATGAGTGAGCGAGGTAGGGGGCCTATATTCATTCTTTTGCATGTGGATATCCAGTTGTCCCAGCACTATTTGCTAAAATAATGTTCTTTCAACTGTTGAATTGTCTTGGCACCCTTGTCAAAAATCAGTTGACGATGGATGTATGGGTTTATTTCCATTCCCTTGATCTATATGCCATCTTTATGGGAACAGCACACCGTCTTAATTACCATAGTTTTAAAATTGGAGAGTTTGACTCCTCCAACTTTTTTCCCCCAGATTGTTTTGTCTGTACTGGTGCCTTGCATTTTCATATGAATTTTAGAATTAGCTTACCTATTTCTGCAAAAGTGGCAGCTGGACTTTTTATACAGATTGCATTGAATCTGTAGATCACTTTGGGTGGTATTGTCTTTTTAACAATATTAAGTCTTCCTCTACATGAATACAAAATGCCTTTCCATTTATTTAGGTCTTCTTTAATTTCTTTCAATGATGTCTTGTAGTTTTCAGTGTACAAGTCTTACACTTTTTTTGTTAAATTTATTCCTAAAAGTATTTTATTCTTTTTTACTGCTATTGTCAATGGAACTGTTTTCTTAAAAAAAAATTTTATTTATTGCTATATATAGAAATAAAACTGACTTTTGTGTATTGATCTTATGTCCTTCCATATTTTGAAACTTGTTTATTAGCCCTCATTTTTTGTGGCATTTGCATATATAGTTTTACATTTTTCCTGTACAATTCTGGATGCCTTTTATTTCTTTTTCTTGCCTAATTGCTGTGACTAGAACCACCAGTACAATGTTGAATTGTAGTGGTGAGAGTGGACATTCATATCTTGTCTTGATCTTAGGGATAGCTTTCAGTCTTTCAGCTTTAAGTGTAATATTAGTTGCAGGTTTTGGTAGATGCCCTTTGTAGCTGAGGAAGTTCACTTCTATTCCTAAGGTGTTTTTTGTTTTTCTTGGAGGGATGTTAGGTTTTGTCAAATGCTATTTCCATGTCACTTGAGATGATCACATGGTTTCTGTCCTTCGTTGGTTAATATGGTGTATTTCATTGAATGTTTTTCATGCGCTGACACAGCTATACTTTCCTGGGATAAATCCCACTAGGTCACAGTGTATGATCATTTTTGCCTGCTACAGGATTTGATTTCCTAGTATTTTTTTGAGGATTTTTGCATCTGTATTCATAAGGGATATTTTTAATTTTCTTTTCATGTGATGTCTTCAATTTTGATATCATGGTAATACTCACCTCATGACTGTTGGGAATAACACTGTGAAAGAACACCCTTATTCTGATCTCTCTGGTGGTAGCCAGGTTTATGGGTTTTCACCAAAAATGCTAGCTGCTATTTCTGAAGGCTGTGTAGAGCTGGAGACTGTGTATGGGATTAGGGCAAGTTAAAATGCCGCAAAGCTCACTGTCCTTACTAAGATTTTGTCTTTTTTTAAATCCTCACCTGAGGATATGTTCTTTATTGATTCTACAGAGAGAGGAAGGAAGGAAGAGGGGGAGAGAGAGAGAGAAACATCAAATTAAGAGAGAAACTGGTCGGTTGCCTCCTGCACATGCCCCTACTGGGGACTGAACCCACAACCTGAGTGTGTGCCCTGGCTGGGCAGCGAACCCAAGACCCTTCTATGCACAAGGTGATGCTCAGCCAACTGAGCCACAGCAGCCAGGGCAGTAGTGTCTTTTTTCTTGAGTAAATAGTCCCCTGATTATTGTAAGCCTTTGATTAACTTTCATAGTTCTGAAAATTTGGATTCTGGTGATTAAATAAAAATTCTCTGGTCCATTTGCTCCTTGCTTTTATGGAGGAAAGAATTTTTAGAGATCCTTACTCTGACATATTTTTGCTGATGCCTCTGCTCTCACTACTTTTCGAGATAAATTTTATTTAAAGTAATCCAGTTACTTTTTTGTGTGTCAACACTTGCTAATTAAGTTACTCCAAACTTGTTACAGATTTTTGTTAAAAATATGTACAAATATTTTATTATTAATATGCACTCACCTAGTTTGTATATTTTACTCTTTGCCTTTTTCCAGTAGTATCTAGTGTGCAGTAGGAGATGCAGAGATGAGAATCTCGCTCTTACACTCGCTTTTTCTCTTCTCTTGACCAAAGTGTTCCCAACCTGCAGCAGATCGCTCTCTGTGTTGAAAATGTGGCTTATTTGGTATTCATTTATTTATTCAACTGCTGCTTCTTGAACTGTTATGTGCATGGTGCTGGGAATGCATGAATGAACAAGACAGACAAGCTTTTACATTCCAAAGTGGAACCTGATCATAGACAAACATTAAATTCCATAATCCATAGTAATGATAAATGTTGTGATGAAAAATAAAGCTATTTATGGGGTAGAGTGATAAAGTGTCCTATTTTAAATAGGTTGTCAAGGAATGCCTGTTTGAGGACATAACATTTGAACAGAGACCCAAATAAAAGGGAAGTGGAGTGGGATAAGCTGTACAGAAAGCTTGTGAAGAGCTTCCCAGCAGAGGAACGTCTCATGCATAGCCCAGATTCTAATTTATTATTATTGTATATGCATGGTATTTTATGTGTTTATATAGTACATCTAGTATTAAAATAGTGCTTTAAAATATTTTTCTAAAAAATGCTTTGTGGTTTTATAACTTTGGTTCAGTTTGATAACTGCTAGACTGTATTTTATACTAATATCTATATGTTATTTTTCCTTTAATATTTTAAGTTAAATATAGTCAAACCTCATTTCTCAAACGTCTCCCATCTTGAACAGTTAGGTTCTCAACCAGGTTGTTCACAGAAAAAAATGTCTCAGTGGTTGAACCAAACTTTGGATTTTGAACTAACAACCCTTTCAGGTTGATCCCTCAGCGTGAAAGAAAGCGTCTCTCAGGCCACCAAGGAGACAGTGCTTTTGTTGTTGGTGAATGAGTAGCATGATTTTAACACGTAAAGAGGCCATCAGGAGTGCTGATGATGCTAAGGGTGTGAAAGAAACAATGATCACAGGCAGTTGAAGAGGTAGAAAAACTGTTGTTGATTTGTATCAAAGAAAAGCAGTTAGCCCTTGACAGCATTTGGGAGGCAGCGATCGAGGTGAAAAAGCGAAGATGCTGCATGCTGACCTGAGAGACACCCTGGAAGGAGTGCGGAAAGTGATCCGGTTGAGGCTAGTAGGGGTGGTTCGATAAACTTAAGGAAAGAAATGTTTGTTTACAGATTAAACAGTGCATTAGACATGTACTGTATATAAGACAGGTTAAAACAGAATCATTTGGGGTCTGGAACAGATTAATTCAATGTACATTATTTCTAATGGGAGGAAATGATTTGGTTTTATTACTGGACAGGGGACCTAGCCCTTGGCTGGTCTGCCTAGGGCTGGCCAATAGTGTGTGGGTTCTTGACTCCATGCAGGAAAGATCTCACAGCACGAGTCCAGATGACTGTGAGGGAACGTTCGTTAAAGCTGAGACAGTGAAACAAGAAAGGGCTCAGCATAGAAGCAGCAACAGGAGGGCCGAGGCTGAGCTGCCCTGGCTCACTGGGAAGCCAGAGAAAAGGAATTGGTCAAGTTCAGCGAGTAAGCCCAGGTGCTGCTGGCTGGCCATTGCTCCCCTGGTTGCAAGTCTCCTGGGGACCCTTATTGTTTAGGAGGTGTGCCTGTGGGGGAAGAAGAGGGGATAGGGAGTAGAGGGGGGGTGCTCCCTAGAGGGAGAGCCCACTGAGTCCTTTGTTTTGAGGCTTTTATTTCTCTCTTGAAGGCGGGAATCTTAGGGGAGGTCTCAGGGGAGGGTCTCAATAGAATATTCATCAGCTCTCCAGGTGTGCTCTTTTGGGGTCCTGGTCTCCACTGGTTGGTCGGTGCCAGGGCATAGGGTCATTAGTCAATGTAGCTGGTCCTGAGGCAGCCACGGGGCCACTTTTCTGGTTTTGCTGCTTTTCTGGGCCTGGAGCTGAAATACAGCTGAGGCCTGGATGTTATCTTCAGGGAGTAAATGCTCAGGGGTCTAAACCGAATGACCAGCAATGTGCTGGGGGAGGAGAGGTTCCCCTGGGGACAAGGTCCTTGCTTCCCAGTTTTCCCCCTTGCTGGGCATCTGGGGCTTCCTGCCCTGATGAGCTTCTGTACCTGGTCCATCTAACACAAACCATTTACTCTCAAGTGTCCTTGGTTTAGGGAAGATAGAATTTACTAGATGACTGCAAACTGCTGTTTAACTCTGTCTCAGTTTCCCTGTTCCACTTGTCCTGGTTTCCTGGCCTGTCTGTTTTTGAACAAGTTACTTCTCAAACAGCCTTCCAAAACGAATTAAGTTCGAGAACCAAGGTTCCACTGTATAGATTAATGTCCCTATAAATATGATAAATATAGCTTGAAGATTTTATATTTAATTGAAATACATTGTGATTATTCTTCAAATTATTATTCATGTAAATGTGAATTCTTTCCATTATATGGCATTCTGGTTAGTTCTCTTGTGTGTGTCTCAATAAAGGTTTAATGTCTCAATAAAAGTTTAAGGATACCTGCCAACTCACTTTTTCTTTTTCTTCTTTTTGCAAAATTCCTTCCTTTCCTCTCTTCCTTCCCACCATCACCTTCCTTTCCCTTCCCTTTCTCCTCCGCTCTCTGTCCTGCTCTTCCCCGCCTGTTCCAGCTCTGTCCCTTCCTGCTCTGCTCAGTGGATCCCTTTTCCTGCCTCCCATCCTGTCCCTCTGCTTCTTTCCTCACCATCTATTTTTTGTCTCTTTCTCCCTCCTTCCCTTTCTTCCTTCATCTTCTAATGCGTCCTTTTTGTTTCCCCTCCCATTCCCCCAATTTCCCCTTAACATTAACACTAAAGTAGCTTCCTAATCTCCTTCTGTCTATTCAATAAGCCACTTACATATTTTCATCTTCCTAAGGCACAGTTCTGATCTGATCATCACTGTCTGCTCAGAACCACTGGCTGCCCTTTGTCTACCAGTTTCATTCCAGAGTCTTCGGTACCTCTCAGATCGTGGCACCAACCCGCTTCTGGAGTGCAGTTAAGCTCTATGACATGGCTTCATCTCTAGCAGATCTGGTCTGTTTAGAGTTTTATAAACACATTCCGTGTTCTCTATTTCTATGTCTTCTCTCCTGTTATTTCCTTTGCCTGGAACACGTAGCCTCCTGTCCTGCCCATTGGAAACCTATTATCCATCCAGGCTCAGTCTGATGCCCCCTTCCCTTTTTCTTCTTGTTAGCTGTGAGCATCTCTCCTCCCCTGATCTAGATTATAAATTCTTCAAGATCAGGACCTCGTCTTCTTGGGATTATGTGAATTTTTAACATACTACCTTGAGGTGGTAAATATTTGGTAAATGTAATTGGTGTGCAGCAAGTTCTTTCATTTACCAAAATTTCTGTTTTCTTGTCTCTAGTTAAAGAAGAGTGTAAGATCCCTAAAACTGAGAGTTGGTCACAGAAAATGTCAAACAGCCAGGTAAGCTTTCTTAAAATGAAACACCTAGTAGCCAGCTTATTGCAGTTGGTGGCTTTGTGGCATCTGACTGAATTTTGCAGCCCTTTCAGTCAAATCCATAAGGTATGTGGCAAGAGGGTGCTAAAGTGTAGTCTGAGAGACACTTAGATGGGAGGTTGCACAGCTAGAGTCCAGGATTTGGAACTAGAAATACCTGAAACCCTAGTTCTGCTGTTCAATAGTTGGGTGGCCTGGAGAAATTCACCACAGCTTTCAGCCTCAAAGTCTTCATCTTTAAATGGAGATAAAAATAGATCACTTGTCTCTCTCAATACAGATAATCTGTAAGTACATATAAACATACCTCATACACAAATGCATATATGTATATATAAATATAAATACGCAAATGTGTATATACATTGAAAATATGTGGATCAACAGTAAAGTTAATGGTTAATTCTGCAGAGTTAGGTTGTAGAGGGGAGCTGAAGTTTATGTTTTATTTTATGTAGTCTCTGCTGTTTGATATGAACTATACATACATTTTATAATCAAAGTATAACAAATTTTAATCTAAAAAAATCAATATGTACCCTTATGTGTGTATGTTCTGTATGTATATTATGTTTTAATAGTTTGAAAAAATTAGATCTTTTATAGCTAGTAATATGTTAAATTTATAAAAGATATCTTAGAGTATTTGGCACATGGTAGGTTCTTAGTAAATAGAATTCATTAATATTTAGATATCAGTAAAATGGTTGAATTATATGACTTTTAAGGCCCTATTCTGCAACTCATGCTATGATTTCCTTTACTCTAGAAAAAGGGTTTATAAACTTTTCATGCCATGGACCTCTTTGGTGAAGTCTATGGACTCTTTCTCAAAATAATGTCTTAATGCTGCAATAAAGTATATAAAATGTCAAAGAAAACCAATTATATGAAGTAGAATCACCCCTGTTGTGGTTTGCTGCCAGTATTCATAATTGAAGGGAATTCTGAATTCTTATTTAGAAGTTAATGAAGATACAGATGTAATTTTCCCCTCATCCAAGTTTACAAGCCCCTTTTTTCCTTACAATACAGGAGAGTAATGTATTTAACAAGTTTATAGGTATTTGTTTAGAACACTATTAAGTAGTAACTTCATTTGCACAAAAAGCTCACTCATACTCTTCTGTAGACATTTGGGTGGCCTGACAAATATAACACTAAGCTCCTGAAGAGAAGTGAAAGTATGGAAGTCTCAGAGAATCAGAAGGTTAGGACTCGTTGTCCAAGTGCTGTGGATAAGATAAAAGACCATTTATCCCATTGAGCTTCCCACACTTGAACACCTGGTTAGATGATTGGTGGAAATTATAAATCATTTTTGTACATAAAACTCTTAGCTTTTTCTGTGTCCTTGTACTTTCATCTTCATGCACAAAATATTCTTTTAGCCTAACACTGGATTTGAGAACTTTTTAGCATCCTTGACTATCTCCAAAGAAAACGAAGTCCAGTCCTCTCATCATGAAGAGCCCCCCAGTGAAGAACATTTGTCACCGCAGTCATTTGCTATGGTTCGTATTTTGTGATAACTTTTGTACTCTGCTAATTTCACTGTTGTTGGCCATGAACACCCCGCCCCCCTGCAGCCGTCCAACCCCTTCTCTCCGGTAGACTGGCACGCTGCATCTGCACCGCCCTCCCGCGAGGAAAACCGGACTGCCCCGGGGAATAGCCATCCTTTTGTTTATCTCTTTAGACTACACATCGCTCCCTTGCGAACATTGCTACTAGGCAATTTGGTCAAAAGTTAAGCCAGGAAATGTTGAGGTGTTTTTGTTTGTTTTTTTCCCTCAACTCTAGGCTATTGATTTTTCTTATTCTGGATTTCAGTGTAGTTATTGTTTTTCATTTTTAACATTGTAACTCATTAAAAGAAGGATAAGTAGGCTCTACTAGTAATTCTGTTAACTTTTCTCCCTCTACCTTCACCATCTACATACCAATCATTTTCAAAACAGAAGGGAACACGGATGCTTAAAGAAATTCTAAAAATTGATGCCTCTGACCCTGTGGACCACAAGAGCGAAATGAAGCAGTTTGGTCCTGAAGTCACTGTCTCCTCTAACAGGAGGGGCGAATGTGGACCTTCCTCACAGCCGAAACAGGGTAAGAAGTTAAGTAAGTAAGCTAAGCACAACTACTATCATTTCAGAAATTCAGTTTATTTTTTGTGCTTTTTAAAGATAAAACTTTTATTTTTAAAAAATATAATTAAAAGTAACAAATAAGAGTGTAATTTTTATGTTTGCATCATTTATATAATAGCTGTGTAACCAAAAGGTATATAGTTCCTAAATGTCTTCTTGTGAAAACTTAAATTGCACTGTTACAGATACTCAACTGCACATCTCAAGCCTGGAAATGTTTCCCCATTCTAACTTTTTTTTCTTTTTTCAGTAATTTAAGAATGATTGTGTAACTTAAATGTATTACTTAACTTTTCTGAAATTCTTTTTCCTACTTACAAATGGGAAGAACTTCTCAAATGGCTGCTGTGATAATTATGTGCCATGCACGAAGCAGCTAACACTGCGTCTAGCACGTTATTGGTGCCAAAAATTAATATTAGTGTGTTAAAATAACTTGATCATTGTAAAAATAAAAGCTATAAAATCATTCAAAATAATTAATGGAGGCAGGCATTGGAAAGTGGTTATTTATCTGAAACCTACGAGGCCCGTAGCACATCTGGCACGTGGCTGGATTTCAATAACTATCCATCATTGCTCCTGCCCACTCTGTCCCCTATACCTTAGTATTTTGTCTATGTAATTATCTGCAGAAGGCTACCAGAGTCAGTAATACAAAAGTCAGTGAGGGTAGAAGTTTCTCAGATAGGTAAAAAACATTTTGAAATAAGCAGATCTGAGTTTATTAAGGATCAAAATATGGAAGAAAATCAGAGCCTTCTTCTATTTATACTCTAGTGAATATTTGGATAAATGATTCATTGAAATTCCAATAACCATTAGGAAATTAATTATTTAATACAGTGACAGGCATGCTCTTGAAATAGAGCAAAATAAAAATTTAAAACAAAATTGGATAAAGATGGTCCCACTGCCAAAAACAAGCAACTTTTTCTTTGTTTCATTATAATGAAAAATAATCATATACCTGAGAGTCAAGAGCTCAGAATCCAGAGCATGTTGCAGAGCTGATGACATCTGTGACTTGGGGCTGCCACTGAACCTTTTTATAGTCTAGGACAGGAAGAGGGTTAGGTTCATTCTGCTCTTGTTCTCTCAGAATTTTTAAATCATTTTCTATATAAAAGCACTTTAAAGACATAATTTCAGAAAAAAAAATTTAAGAAGCATCATTTGGAGCAACAAAATCTTTCATTTATGGTATCTCAGAGTGTAGGGTAACATTTTGAGAAGACTGAAGCCAAAGCCTCAAAACCTAAGACTTGTTTGTAAATCAGCTCAAGAGAGCCATCTGCTTGTTCAGACTCTGCCTGTAATGTAACTTTGTAGTCATTAATTTCTCCAGATGGTCATTTTTGGCTGTCACCTACTTATTGTATTTTTAAATCTTTCTTTTAATCGTGTATCACTAATCAGTTACAATCACCTAGAAATCTTCACTGAATTCTTAGTAATTTTAGGCTGTACTAAATAGTTCTTATATTTGTTTCATGGGAGGTTCCTCTTTTCACCTTTTAACAATTTTTTGCTCGTATTTATTGAAACCCTGAAATAATTGCCTAGTTTGAGATACCTTTAATACAGATGTGTCCTGTTTTCTTTTTTGGTAGCATCTTATATGAACAAGCCTCACAGTTCTAGTGAGTACCATCCTGTTCGGTCTGTAGACAGTGTGTGCTGGCCTGCTTCCAGCCAGATCCCTTCTGTGTCCACACCAGCAGCTGAACTCTCTAGAATCTGTTCCCTTGTTGGAATGCCACAACCAGATTTCTCTTTTCTTAGAACACCACAGGTATAGTATACTGTGTTCCATTTATAGAAGTTCTTTAACACTGAGCCTAAGGAAGTCGACTGAAGTGTTTGGCTAGAAAAGTCTAACGGAGCTGACTTTTTTTACTTTATCAGCAGCAGATACTTAGACTTCTCACTCCAGCTGATTCATTTATGCAGAACCAGAGCCCTTAGAGAACCTAGGCAGCAGGGAGCCCAGCAAAATTCTTTAGACTGATGGAGCCAGGGATCTTGGTCTAAAGAACCTTGGTTCAAACTTTTTCACCTTAGAAATTCCCCACTTTTTGCGGAGGACCTCAAAGAACTCTAGTTTACTTGTGTTGCACCCATATTTACCATATTAGAAATTAAAACTAAAACAATTTAAGTATTTGTTTATTTAAAAATAAGTTTTCAAAAAAATTTAGTAAGTGGTCTTGCTTTACATTTGTGCAAATCTTTTCCATGTCTGGCTTAATAGAAGAAGCTAGATTCTCATATCTTCTTACTCTCAGTCTGTTGTGACACATTGTGCTGGTTGAGATATATGAAGAAAACCTGGCCTCACACAGATGGATACTTGAGAAAGGGAGAGCATTTTGATAGCCTTTTCATATAATTGTGGATATTCTTTGATACGACAGTAAAGCAGAGTATAGAATCTGAAACTGTCACTGAGCGTTTTGTCCTCTGTACTTGTGGGAAAACGAGAGCGAAAAGGCAAATAGCATCTTAATACTATTATGAAAATAGCTTTGACCTCAAGAACCCCTGGCAAGTGTCTCAGTGGCCCTCAGCGTTCCCAGACTTGCACCTTGAGGACCACTGGCTACAAGAAAGTTTATGTTACCTTTTTACATCTGAGTTCTTGATACATTCTTGCCTAAAACGGAAAGCAGGATTAAACTCTGCTACCTTTTGAAAAAGTAGAATTTAAAAGAAAGTATCCTTTTTGTAAAAGAAAAAAAAGTATAATGTAAACAGTTATAATCAGTCAGTACCTCTGAGTCTTTTAGATTTTGGTAATTAATTCATATTAGCAAAATACCTGCTGTTTGGAGGATGGTGTCATGCGGGGGTCAGCAAATTTTTTTCTGTAAAGGTCTAGATAGTAGTGTTTTAGGCTTTGCAGGCCATGTGGTCTCTTCACAACTACTCGGCTCTGCAGGTACAGTATAAAAACAGCCGCAGAAGATATATAAACGAATGGACTCAGCTGTGTTCCAATGAAACCTTATTTACAAAAGCAAGTACAAGTCCTAGTTTCCCATCCCTTGGTGTAAAGAAAACAGTTTTGCAGGCTTTCATTTGCATTAGGATGCTTGACCCTTCTGCTAGCTTAGAAAGCATTCTATTTTGTAAACATTGAAAGATAGGGTAATAATTCTAAAGTTTTTGCATGTTAACACAAAACTTAAATAGTCCTCTTCTAAATTCTTGAATTTTTTTTTTTAACAGAGTGTCAGATGAAATTATTCTACTTGTTTAAACTAAGCTTTGGGAGGGGAATTGGCTTCCTAAACAGATGACTTCATAGACATTCACATTCTCTCTTTCTAGACAATGGTAGTTTGCCAGGTAAAGCTGCCCAACGGCTTACTAGTGCACGGGCCACAGTGCCGCTCTGAAAACGAAGCCCGGGAAAAGGCTGCACTTTTGGCTCTGCAACAGTTGGTGAGACCTGTTCATGACTCCTCTACTGAACTTTTAATTAACTCCTAGAGCTGTTTTTATTGCACTGTCTACAACTTTTAAATACTCCCATAGGGCTCCTTAGGAGTGAATTTCCCTTTGCCGCCACCGATATTTGCGAATTATCCTCCTGCTGTACCTCCTGGACCCGTTCCTCCAGTGTTTCCTCAGCCTGCTGGTAAGATAGTGTTTGCTACTGAGTTACTATTTCTAGAAAGTTCTTTTAAGATGCATCGTTTTGAATAAACTAAAAAATGTGTCTAACTGTCCAGGGTGTGTAAGAAGGAATTGTGGGGAGTGAGCCTGCAGCTTCATCTGGAATACCGTTCCCTCCTCCAGCCTCGAGTGCTAGAGAAGGGCAGCCCCAAATTCCCCAGAAGCTGCCAACAGATGAATTTGGATTTAAGTCAGACATTAAAACCATTTAGGAGAAATAGAGCTGAAGGGAAGAAAAACAGGTCAGGTGCTGAAGCTGTGAGTGTGGCAGACCCTGTCCTGACAAGGGGGGAAGTGTGGGAAGACGGCATCTTAAGCTCACTTTGTGTTTTTGAATATTCTCTGTAACTCTCTTCCTCCTCCAAGCGTAGTGCCTGCGTTATCAGGCAGGTAGCTCCGTGCTTCCTGTAGCCAGTTGGTGACGTCCTAATGAGCTGGGGCATGGAAAGTTCTCTGGGGACTCAGGACTCTGTCCAGGCTCTTTCATTCACTGACTGAAAAAATGTTGGAACTTCCATTTTCTTATTTATGCCAGATGCGTCCAGGATCTGTTTGAGACTAACATTTCGTAACTCTATGATTCTAAGTCTGAAGTTCATTACGCCTTTCTTTTATCACTCTTTTCTTCCTGTTGACAGTCGGTTTCTTTGTATCCTAATCATTATCATTTTAGAACCAATAACTTGTTTATTTCAAGTGTAGAAAATTACTATTCTGAATCTACTATATGCCAGGCATTGTTCCAGGAGTTCTACATATCTAATCCTCACTAACAACATTAGAGAGGTTAATAATGCTAATTAAACAAGTTATCTCTTCTTTTTGCCTAAACTCCATTAAACTAAAAAATAAATTATTTTAGAAGTGTAAACCTAGGACAAAGAGATGAGAGAAGAAATATCAGCAAATTAGAACTTTGAAAAAAGATTCTGATAAAAGCAATTACAGGAGCAGTAGCCAGTGTCGCATAATAAGGTTAAGCTACAAATAAAGTGTCGTAGAAGAGGGTACAGGTGAGCTGACAAGCAGATTGTCTCTTACAGTTCCCGAGAGATTCAGAACTTGGAAGTGTCCGACGCTGCCAGAGCTTTAGCTGAGGCAGGGCTGAGAAGAGTCTGTGTGCAGTGAGGGGACCCTCGCAGCCCCTCCTCCACACAGCCAGGCAGTGCTTCTCTAGACAGAGGACGGGAGGTCTGTGCAGAGGCCCTTATACGTGGGAGCACCAGTCAGAGTGGCGAGTGGGGTATGAGGCTGAAAACAGGTTCAGGTAAATTTTGTTTCTCCCATTCTGTTTTCTGACTGGAGCCAGCCGTAGCCCAGATAGGAAGTTGGTTGGAGGATGGCTCTTTTGGGAAATTCAGTGAACTTCGAAGAAAAGACCTACTGACTTCTTGGAGGGTTTCCCAACCAACAGGCTGGCTTCCACCCGGACGTCCTAAAGAGCAGCCCGAGCCATGCAGTCCTCCCAACGACCTTGCTCCTCCTCATGGCCCCGGTGTCTTGCTCTTTCTTGTGAATAGACATTAGACTGTGAGAGATCCTGAACATTTTAGGAAAAGAAAATCTCTAAAAATAAAAGAGAATCCAAAACACAAATGAAGTGACCTGGAAACAGAGATAATGTAGGAAATAACAGTACTGCAGCCAAAAAATAAGAACAGGAATGTGTGAGGAAAAGACTGATTGGAGAGCAGGAGTCACCTGTTGGGCTGTGTTAGTTCGGTAGATGGAGCCCACGCAAAGCCCTGGGGTCTCAGGAGGAGGGGGCGCAAGACGAAGGTGGAAACCAAGAAACGGGGCTCAGAGGGACAGTGTGCAGATCCAGTGCCCATTTAATTGCAGTTCCAGAAAAAGAGACTAGATGGGGAGGAGTATGAGAGAAGAGATAAGAAAGCTTCCTGGACTGGAGGACGTCTCTAACCTGAAGGCCTCCACCCGCAGAGCACAGTGATGAGGAGAGGTGCAGATCTCGACATTCTGAGTACAAGTAACAAATGGTCTGCAGGGGTCGGAGAGGAAGGGAAAGATGTTTAAAAGATCAAGAATCAGGCCCTGGCCTGGCCGGTGTGGCTCACTTGGTAGAGCGTTGGCCCAAGCACCAAAGGGTCACAGGTTCGATTCCCGGTCAAGGGCACATGCCTGGGCTGCAGGTTGGTTCCCCGCTCTAGTCTGGGCACATGCGGGAGGCAGCCAATCGATGCTTCTCTCGCTTGCTCGCTCGCTCTCTGTGGGTGTATGTGTGTGTATCTCCACCTGCCTCCCTTCCACTCTCTGTAAAAATCAATGGAAAAAATACCCTTGGTGAGGATTAACAAAAAATATAAATAAAAATAAAGATCAAGAATCAGAATGGTATTTTGCTGTTTAACAGAAGGTCAAAGCTAGAGAGCAGTTGAGCATTGAATACCTCTAAATCCTAAGGCAGAAGTAGTTTCTTCTGATTTTCCTATGTAGCCAATGAATCTTGACGTTATGACTGCTACCAAAGGTGCTTATAGATATTACCAAGACCTAGTTTTCTAAACCTTTATAGTTTGCTTCATTGGAATTTGTGCATGTATAATTCATAACAGCAAAATATATTATGATTCTCCTAATCCAAAAATTTCTTAAGTGGCCAAATTTTAATTAAGTTATACTACATTACAGTTCTAGCTGTCTTTATCTCTCTCTCTAAAGAAAGTTTGAACACAGTCCATATCTTCTTCAGTGGCAGCGTGCTGTGCATATAGTGGCACCACATGCCGCACTGGTACTGACTGCATAAGAACCACCGTGGAGCTTGTTAACAGTGAGATTCCTGGGCTCCTCGGACTCTGCTTTAGGTCTTAGGCTTTGCCCAGGAATCTGTACTTCACAAGCTCCCCAGGTGATGTAGGATACAACCTCAAATCAGGTTTGGAAACTCGTGGTTCAGTGCACTTATAATAAGAAACAAGGTATAAATTTTTACATTTTTTTAAATTTATCTTTTAGCGAGAGGAAGGGAGAGAGAGAGAGAAACATCGATGTGAGAGTGGAACATCAATTGGCTGCCTTCTGCACACCCCCTAGCAGGGATCAAGCTGGCAACCTGAGCATGTGCCCTGACCAGGAATCAAACCAGTAACCTTTCAGTGCACAGGACAATGCCCAACCAACTGAGCCACACCGGCCAGGGAAGATATAATTTTTTAAAAATCCTTGAATTAAAAATTTTAGAATAGGGAAAAGATTCTACATGTCATGAAAATGATCACATTTGAAGACTTGAGCTTTTTTGGTTTTTGTTCCACCATGGAAGCAACTTAGCACTGGGGACAGGTGAGATCTTGACGATTTCTCTCTCTCTGTCCCAGCTTTTCTCCCCCCAGGGACACTTTCAGTGACCCTTTTATTATTTGTAAACAGTACTACAAATACTCCTAGAACTCACATCAGTACATGGTGTTCTTTCCGTTGGAGGCCAGACAGTACCGTGATAAGCTGACTTCCTCAAATTGTGCATAGTTCTCAGGGGCTTCTGAGCGTTGTAAGCAGGATTGATCTTAAGTTAAATGTATGCGTCTTTGCCAGAGCAGAAAAGGCCAAGAAGGGTAGCACAGGGAAGTCTTAAATTTCAGCTCTTTGATGAGACCATTTTACTTAACTAGACATTTTCCATGGTTTTTAACAGTTAATATACTGCCTTCATCATCTCCTCTCTTTGGCTCGATGCCATGGGGACCAGCAGTGCCAGTGTCCGGAAAGCCCTTTCCTCACACTTCGTATTCCGGGACCATGCCCGTGGCCGGGGGAGCGGCAGGTGGTGTGCACAATCAGTTCATACCTCTACAGGTGAGGCCTGGAAATAGAATTATTATGTTTTTAAGAGAATTTTTTAATGCTCAAAGACTATTGATAATGTGTTCATTCAGTAATTGCTTGTTCAGTGCCAACTGGAAGCCCAGTACTGGACTGGGTGCCGAGGATTGTATGTTACGACCAGTAGTACCAGTCTGCCTAGTCGCTCTGTCTGAGTTTATGTTCTAATAAAGAGTAATGATTGCAGCAAGTAATGATATCCTTTTCTAGCCCAAAGTGATTTAAAATCAGGAATATACATTTCCCTTATATTTGAGGTATGAAGAATTTTTAAGTATTTTCTTCAAAGCTAAATTCCTTTAATTTCTAAAGCCTGGTTTGGAAATTTGTAGCTGGAAGTCGCAAGTCAGCAGTGGTGGACAGGCATTATTACTACGTGGCTTATGGTATTTTCTGACACTAGTCTTTCTTTGCCTACACTGTTAATTGATGATGCTTTTATTCCTTAAAGGTTACTAAAAAAAGGGTTGCCAACAAAAAGAACTTTGAGAATAAGGAGGCCCAGAGTTCTCAAGCCACCCCACTTCAGACTAGCCAGCCAGGGCCTTCCAGCGCCCCCAGAGGGATGCCCCCGGAGAGCCCGTCAGCTCCCATCAAGTCCTCCCCAACGGCCCAGCCCGCACCTTCGCTTCAGGCCGAAGCTGCCTCTCAGGGCCCCAGTGCAGCTCACCGCAAGCCAGCAGCAGGCTCTGCCTCAAGGAGAAAATCCAGAAAGCTGGCTGTCAGTTTTGGCCTTTCCAAACCTTCTGAATAAGCTCGGTACTTGGAATTAAATTACTTCCTCTCCTTTCCACCCACCTCTTTATAAATCCATATCTGTGTCTCAAAAAAATTAGAATGTGGTATTTTAAAATATGTTTCAATTGAAAATTTTTAACTTTTAAGTTGTCAGGCACTTTTCATGCTGTTTAAAAGACTACATATCAAATTGTGCATCTTAAATATGTGCAGTTTGCTTTACGTTAATTATACCTCAGTGAAGCTCTTTTTTAAAAAGGCTAAATTAAACTTGTGTTAAAATAATACTAGTGGACTAAGTGTTAAAATGTACCACTCTAACTGCTGGCCTCGTCCTGAACTATGAATTAGACGTCATATTGCAATAATAGTAAACATTTTTACACTGTCATTGAGGGATAATTAAATGGAGCATGAAAATTGGGCCTCAGGTATAACTTACTGAGTGTGGATCTTATTTTTCTTTTTAATGATGTAACAGAACTGTCGGAATGGCTCTCATTTACATGTACTCAGCGTACGTTCTGGGTCTCTCTGCGTCCTCTAGACCTGCTGTGGGTGATCCCCCTGGGGTGCTGCCAGTTTTCTTTATTTTGAATTCTGTACCAAAGCAACTTTAGAATACTGATCAGAATATTTCATTTAACTACTTACAACTATAAATAGAAAGCTAGATTTAAGCAACTAATTACAGTTTTTTTTAGATTATTCAAGAACCAGCATTGGTAATTGCTAATAAAATTAAGTTTCAAAATTTACAGGGTACAATGATTACAAATTAATATTCCAGTAGAATAAAGTAGAAGATAGTAATCACGTTAATTAAAATACATTGCATTATTCTTTTGTAGAGCTCACTTAAGCCTACATGAGAGCTCCATTGTTGGCCCAGGTGTATGCTTCCTGGGCCAAGGAAATTCTAGTGTTTTAAATCCAAGGTGGGCTGTGTGTGACAGGCACCGTCACTATGCAGAGCCCCTTGTTTCCATGGTAGACCCTCTTGCTCTGTTTCCATGCTTCCAGCTTCACACTGAGCTGCCCGGTGACCCACACTGTCTTTGTGTCATGCGGGGGCGTCTCGTTCAAGCCGTGGTTCTGGATATTATTTTAGAATTTTTGGAAATTTTATCAGTGGTCCAGGGCCTGAATTTTTATATATATATTTATCCTTTAGTTTTTGTGATGTGCTTATATTTTTAAGGAAGTAAGTTATCATACTTTTTAAAAAGTTGGAACCACAATTTTTATATGGAGCTGCTGCTTATTACATCTAATTTCACTTAGCGTGTTGAGAACTCTGCCCCGAGTCTTAGAGTAGTCTGTTTGTTTAAAATGCTGGCCTTGAACTGGGTGGGCTCCTTTAACTGCTGATCTCAGAGTCTCTCTAAATGTTAATAGGCTGTGTATGGTGGTAGTGCCTTTAGTATGAGTTAAGTGTTCATTGTCGTTTGTGTTAGCCAAGTGAGGCGTTGTGATTTAAGTTCTGTTTCCTAGATTCACATGTGCTCCTGTTCCCAGCAGCTCCTTGTTGGGAGTGTCTCTATCTCTAATGGGATCTTGAGTAATGAGGCTCCAGGAATTCTCAGCGTGTTTCCTTATTGCCTCACAAACTCTATTTGTTTCAAAAGGAAATATTTGTTATGGGAATAAAATGCAAAAAGTTAAGCTGTGACAGTAATGTTCTGTTTAAAGTGTGTAATATTTTCACCTTATGTAACTGTACAAACTCCAGCATTCAAGAATTGCCTCACTCGTTGCTTCTGTGTGGCCACACTGTAAACAGTGGACAGCCCGTGTCTTAGATCACAGAGGAAGGACGCACGCCATCTGAAAACTCCAAGGGAACTTGAGTAAGCATGGTGTCCCTGGACCGGCGAGGGCAGCTCCCCAGGATTTGAGCAAAGCAAGCTGAAAGCTCCATGTGGATAGGCAGTAAAGTGTTTCTTTCATTCCTCCTTCTCTTTTTAAAGCCTATTATTCTGAAGGTCAAGATTAAAGTGGAAGGGAGCTCTGTGGTGACTGGTTGTGGTCAGGCATCTGTCTGCATTCTCTTCCCCGAGGAGACCTGTTCCTACCGTGCGCCTGGCATCTGTAGGGGAGGTGCCCTCCCTTGGGGGGCAGACGCTGCTTTGCCTCACAATAATCTTGAGGAGCCTGGATCCATCGATAGTTTAGGAAACTTACAGTTTTTCCTTTCTGGATGGGGCCGACTCCACCACCCCAAAGTTTAGTTCCATGTCTGTTTGGCTGTCAGATCTACTATGGACTTGGTGTGAGAGGATGGGCGGTGCCGGGCGCCGAAGAGCAGGGCCCATGTTGCCCGTGTTCCCACCCACCTGGAGCCGTTGGATCCAAGTCTTCCTGTTCAGTAATCTCTCTTCTTTCTTCTTGAGTGCATTCAGTGCATGTTGAAGACTATCCTTCCGGTTTCATTGTTTCTTTCACAATTTCCTACATCACCTGGTCATTACCTGAGTCTAGAATTTGGCAGAAAGAATGTATTAATTGATTTAAACATCGTGTAGACCAAAGTCTTAAATATCTGATGACATTCAGTTGCATGAAAAATTAATTTCACATCTCTGTGTACCTTGGTTTCAATTTAAGACCGTTTTTTGCTTCTGAGAGAGAGAAATAGTTCTTTTAGAACTAAAAAGATACAGAGATCCTTTTTCCCTATTAAGGGGAGGGCCGAAAAACTCTCGCAGGTTTTTTTTGTTTACTTCCTTTTCTCTGATCAGGTATTTGCTTTGGTTTTAGACTGATATTTCCAAACTTATTTGGTTTTAAGAAGAGGGGCAGAGAGAAGGTGGTTGGAAGAGGGGAACCAGTTGAATAAGACGTGCCCTGTCACTGCGTTTTCAGGCTGCAGTGTCTTCCTAGCTCAAGGATGTAGGTAAGCTGCAGGGTCTGTTTCACTCACTTTTAATTGTCTGTTATATTTGTATTAGTAAACCATACATTTGCCTCGTGATTGTCTTATTTTTACCTTAAGATAGAACTGTCTAGCTCTCCATTGTAGGCCTACCATGCTTCATCTCATTGTTCAGAGCAATTTTTAAAACAACTGTGTATATAATATCCCAGATTTTTGAGCTTGCTGTATTTCTTAGTACCATCTTTCTTCCAAATTGTGTTTTTACTGTAGAGGAGAATTAATTTATTTGGGAGAAATGACGGTGATGGGCATTCTCTACCCTTAAAAAAATGAATCACAGAAATTCCCTCATCATTTTTCTAGAGCTAGTGATAGTACTCAGGCAGGCAGTGTTCTCTGTGTACATTGTTTTTAAGCTTTGTCAGTGAAACAGTCTTTTTGACAGGAGCTTCCTTTCTTATTCAGGATAAAGCTTAAAATTCTAGAAATGAACATTGTGAGGCCTAACGGAAATAGGAGCCAGATGTGGTCCACATATTGAAACAGCCAGCCAGCAGGGCCTGGCCGATGGGCAGGCGGGAGTTCGTGGACCCAGTGAACATCTTGGACATCACAGGCCCTTTTAGAGAAAGAGGGAAAGGTGGGTAAGCTAGTTTTAGTAGTTGAGACTATCAGCAATGCAAAGCAAGCTCTGTGTGCACGAGGTCAGCAGCCAGTGCTTGCAGGCTCCCGGGTGCAGCTGTAAGGGAGACTGGTTTCCACGGTCAAGTTTGACACTGTTAAACCTGTAAAAACGGGTTTTTCCAACAGTACACTCATTGCAGTTGGTTATTTCAGCAACTGGTATACTATTACATTGCCCAGGCCAAATAATTAAGTTCCTGTAGATGTTTCAGTCATTTGAAGCCAAATTCTTGTACCATTTCTAATGAAATAGTAGGAGTAAGAATTTGGTCCACAGTTTGCTTTAAGTTCTTTGTTTCTTCCCTGCAGTTGAGGGGCTTGTGTGTTTTGAGGGGTTTTTGTTTTGTTTGCCTCTTGTCTCACGTTTTCTTTGCCTGCACCCAGTGGCTTCTCTTTGTGTTCTTGTGTATTTTGATATATGAGTACTAGTGTGCTGCCATCAAAGTGTTCAACACTTTGTTCATTTAAACAACACAAGTGTAATTCATACATATATATCTTAATTCCTTTCTCACTTAACTATTTTATAAGTAACTAGGATTTTTCATTAGATCTTATACAGAGCAGTATTTTATCAAAAACTCAAAAGGGAAGACTTTTGTGCTCATTTTGTAGTTTTTTTTAAATATCTTTACATTACCTGTAATTAAAGTGTTTTAAACCGCATTAGAATGGACTTCAGATGTATTTTTGTGTTGTGCATTTGTAGATTTATAGCATGAAGTTGGCCTCAAAATGTTATGCAAAAGGATTTTAAAATATAAGAATCACTGAAAGAGCTTAAACATTGTACATGTTAAATGCTATATGGATTTTAATTAAACACTTGAGAATGATTTTATAAGCTGTTCTTGTATGTTTGCATTAATATCAAACATAGAAACATTGTACTCGTCACTTAAATCCCACCCCGTTTACATCTGTGTTCGGATCTGTCATTTAGCGTGAACTAGCCACGTGGTTGGCAGGAAAGGTCCGAGTTGTTAGATTCAGGGGCCACTGCTCCCATCTCAGCTCTGCCTCTAGTTGTAAATGTGAACATCGGCGAGGTCTAAGTCACAGTCTCTTCACCCCCTAAAGGGAGAAAACACCACCCATGTGTTGTTAATATGTAGAAAACACTACACACTTTAGTAAATGAGGATTTGTCACATGACCTATTCCCTAGGTCCCAAACACAAGTCCTCTGGACCGTGCCAGGTTCTGCTGTTCGTTTCCCAGAGTCACGCAGTGTCCACTTCCTGCAGAGTCCCTGTGTTCCTGGGCCTCTGGGGGGCCCTTCCCTGTCTGTCCCTGTATTTCCTGCCATGACCCCTCTATCTTTTCCACGGTGCAGGGAAGGTCCTCACCAAGCCACCTAGGAGGGGCCTCTAATTCCTACTCAGGAGATGGGGGCATCCACAAGACTAATATCTTCCTGATATTGGCCATGTCTCACAATATCTCTGATGCAGTTTTACCAAAATCCCTGTGGCAGGGAGGGAAGGAGTTGGAACGAAGGCGGTAAGGAGGGAAGAAAGTCTATTCCTGCTACATCTGCTTCCAGCTCTGCCCTGTGAGTCTGACACTGTTTCTGCTACTGTCCTGACTCAGAGCCCCAAGGAGCCGCCCTCTGCTGTGACCAGATCACCTGTGTTCTTGGCTGCTTTTCCACTTCAGTCCCCAGGCTGCCAGCTTCCCACCCAGTGCAGTGACCACCGCTCTCCACCCAGCCCAGAGCATCATTGGGCACCTTTAACCTTGCTGCCAGTATTTTGACTTGAGACTCATAACTAAAACCGAAACCCATTTAAGCTAGCTCAGGACAGGGCAAGTTGTAAGGATTTGGGGCAATTTCAGAAACCAGTCCAGGAAGCACACCAAGGCTTCTAGAAGCAGAGCCTAGGTCGTCACCTTCCAGTTCATTCTATCTCCTTCCGTAGCCGTGGGGCTGTGACGCTGTGACTCGTAGGTCAGGGCTTTGCTCACTCATCTGTGTGGGTGGGTGGGAGGTCACCTCAGGGGCTGCCCCCTGCTGGGCTGTGGGTGGATAGGAAATGCTGACCTCTCAAAGGCAGACTTAAAAACAGCCACCACGTCCTGGACCCGCAGTCAGTCCCTGTAGTTAAAAGAAGGCCTGAGGGTAACCAGAGCTCACTATCACCTGCTTGCAACCATCTTGTAAAGGAGTAATTCTAGTTAAACTCCTTCACCTTGGAACACGGTCGCCTCGAGTCCCTAGTGTCTAGTTGTAGGAGCTGTAGCCATGTTTCACTGAACTCCTAAGTATAGGATCAATAAGTAAGTGTACCTACTGATTCTTAAATGATTATTAAGAGTTTACTCCCCAGGTCAATGGTAAGTGGTTTGCATTGATTATCTCTGATTCTCACCCTGCTGTGTATGCAGGTCTCACCAGTGCATGAATCTGCTCACAATCTGTATTCAGCCGCTCTGCTATACTATAAGGTTTAGGTTTTATAATCTAGTTTTTACCCCAACACTATATAGTTTTATTATGAAGATATTCTTCCTATGTGCTATTTATTGCATATATATATATATATATATATATATTTTTTTTTT